GCAGAGAGAGAGGGAGACAGAGAGAGGCGGGACTCATCCGAAGTGAGGCTCAAGCTAACCTGATGTGGGACTCGAACTCACCCACCGTGAGATCATGACCTGAGCCAAAGTCAGATGCTTAACCGACTGAGCCACCCAGACGCCCACAGCTCCAGGTTTTGCTGCTGGCGTGGTCTTTGCACTCTGTTCCTCTTGCCTGGAATGCGGGGATCCACCCCCCTGCCACTAGTGAACGCATTTTTTGAAACTCCCTAGACAAGATCCCTTCTCCACCTTCTGGCTCAACTCCTATTAGTGCGGGGTCAGCAAAAGGGAACAGTTAGTGTTGTGGGTTGAATTAATGAATACCTCCTCTGCCCAATGAACTCTTACCCTTCAGAACCCGAGCCCCACTGCCCCTATTCCTACGCAGAGCCTTCACTCTCTCTCTGGGGTCCTCCTGCCCTGGTGCCTCCCTCTGGCCCATCTATGCTCCCTGTGGGACCAGGAACGTCTGTCCGGCTCTGCATTCCCTAGAAAGGAGACTTCTCAGGGGTCTCGGCATGGTGTTGGCCGGAAGAGAGAGATTTGCGAACTTATCAAATGAATCACAACATCCAGAAGTGTTTATTAAACTAGTTTCAAGGTAGCACCGTCACCAGTGGGGCAAGAGTCTTGATGTCGGGGCAGGATTCTGAGTCTGGGCTTCGTGGGATGTGTAGAAATTATCCGGATGGTGAGTAGCAGCCGCTGAGAGTCAGGGATCGGAAAAAACGGGGCAGTGCTCTGGCTCTTCCTCCATCAGCTCCCTTCGAGGGCGCCAGCGGTCACTTGAAGCAGAGTTCCCTGTGGGAGCTGGCCACGGGTTGGCAGACATCTGGCTTCTCACCCTGGAGGGTACAGCCGTGAGCTGACGGTCCCGGAACGAGTCCCTACCCGCCCCCAGCGGCCCCTCTGTCCCCCTTCCAGCTTACTTGGTACAGGTGGCAGACGAGGCTTAGGAGCTGACTCAGATCTTTCAAGGGTTTCTGCACAAAACACGACAGGAAGTCGTACAGTCTCCCCGGCTCCACTTGCCCCAACTAACCTGAGTCTGGCCCGGAAAGGGCTGCAAATGGCTCCGAGTCTGGCCCCTGCCTCCCAGACCAGTGGGCACATCCATCATCCTGGTCCCTGCCCCGGGGCCACACGCAGGGTTCCGAGAGCTCTTACCCCATTGACGACGACCCAGGGCACATACTCGTGGCGCGGCTGCAGGGCATCTGTAAGCTGGGCGTTAATGTGCAAGAGTTGCATGCCGCGGTCCCCCATTGCACACTCCATGATGGTGTCCGGGGACACCTCCGGAGCATAGATCTGCAGGCACTGAGGGTGAAGAAGCGTTGCTGGTGAGCTGGAGCATTGCCTCAGCTTCCTCTGTGTTATCTCCCCAACGGTGCCTCCTCCAGTCCCCCCGAGCCAAGCTTCTGTTTCCTCACTGGCAACAGGAGACGTTTGGGTCCACAGCAGTGCAATAAGACCCATAAACAGCAGGTGCTTAATATTTGCCTGAGGGGAGGCCCCCAAGGTGGGAGTCCGACTGCTCCTGACTCTCATGAGACCAGACTTGCAGCCCCTAGACTGGCCTCTCTAGCGTCTCATTTTCCTCGGAGCTTTCCTATGTGCTGTTCCCTCCACCAGGAACACCCCTCCACTTCCTTCTCCAGAATCTTCTGAGTGCTCCCTCCTCCTCACTCTTCTGGCCCCGCTATGACTCTGCAGGGCTGCGGGGCATCCCGGGGTGAGGCCTCTTAGGCGGTCCAGATGTTTGATGAGTGAATAAACGATGGGCATTCATGAGTTACTCCGTTGGGAATTGTTTTTTCGTAACCCTCCCGAGAAGTAGGCGGGCCTGTCCTGTCATCCTCATACCCCAGATGAGGATCATCATCCATATGCCTGTATGTTTCTGTTCATCCAAGCCCAGTTCAGAGGCAGCTCCTCCAGGAAGCCCTCCTTGATCTACCCCTGCCTCCAAAAGATCTTTGTTCCCTTGATTCAGAGATGTGAGGCTTCCCGAGGGAAGGTCACTTTCCTGGGGCTACAGAGAGAGTGGTGGTCGGGCCAAGACTTGAGCCTGGGTCCGTCTGGGTACAGGGAAGCCCAGGGCCTCCCAACCCGGGCCAAGGGGAGGGGTGTGGCTCACCGGCTTCAGGTTTTTCTCCATGTCATCCATTTCCTCCAAGCAGACAATGGTCAGGAAGGCCATATTCCTCTCTAGCTGGTCCCACAGGCAGGCCTGTGGGATAGGGAGGAGACAAGCAAGGGCATGAAGTGGGCCCAGGGCACCCCTACCCACACCACTCTGGGAGTAATCGCGGGTGTTCACTAATAAAGGGGTGAACGAGGATATGACTCAGTGGAGGCACGCAGGCAGAGGATGGGGCCGGTTCCAGTCCCTTCTGAGCCTTGCTTCGGCCTTCCCGACAACGGGCAACGTCCCCAGCCTCTTGCCCCCACCGCTCGGGAATTCTGGGAGCTGCTCACCTCCACCTTGTTAAGCTTGCATTCCTGCTCACCGTGCTGGCACGTGAACTCCCACCTGCCGCTGACATTTTGCTCCTGCAAGGCAGCTAGGTGAGTGCTGGCTGGCCCGCCGGCTGCCCCCTCCCCTGGCGCCTCAGTTTCCCCAGTGCCAACGTACCTGGGCATTTCCATAGGGCACCAGCGTGACGTTGAGGATCTCCAGGACCATCAGCCAGGTCGGGAAGAGTTCTCGGATCAGGAAGGACCGACAGCCGGGGCACAGTGCCTCGTAGTAGAGGCTCACGTTGACAGGCGGGTATTGTGACTTCCCGAGGGGCCCCTGTGGGCACAGGTCCCCAGCCTGTGTGGGAGGAAGGGGTGTGAAGGGAGTACAGCCCCGCTTGGTTCTCTTGCAGAAAGGTAGCTGCAAACAGTAGGTGCTCCATTTTGCCCTGCTTTCAGACGTTGCCAGGTGGAATCCTGACCCTAGGCTTTATTGCATCCCTAAGTCTTCCTAGTTTTTCTGCAAAACAAAGACTTGCAAACAGTAGGCACTTAATTTATGCACAGCTCTTGCTTTCCTTCAGTTGAGGTGAAACCCCTGGCCCAGGGGAACTGTATGCAGTAAGGACCCGAGGCATGCGCATTTCTGGTCACTGCCCTCAATCCTGCCTTCTCAGAGGTGCATACCACAGGAGACTAATTCATGCTCATTTGTTGCCACCTCATCCCCCAGAGCCTTGGCCCCCCCGAGCTGAGCAGGGCCCTACCCTTGCGCTGACTCCTTATTTATTCTTCCTCTTAAGGGGCCCAGGTGAACCCCTCCCAAACCCCACTGCAGAGGCGGCGCCTAATATGTGCTGATTTCCGGTTTCGGCTGACGGATGGCAGCAGCCAGTGTCTGTGCAGCAGTGAGCAAGTCGCTCAGCCTCCGGCACAACTGTTTGCTCGGCCCCAGAAGCACGCGAGCTCTTTCTTCCCTGGCCGGAATGCACCCAGTAAGCAGCACCTGCAGGGTCGGTGCCACGGGCAGACTTATCTGGGCTTCCCCTGGCATACAGAAGGAGACTCCTTTCCCGCCCCAGACGTACACAGTAGGTGCTCAATGCACCCCCGGGCTGGGCGGGCGGGGGGTGGGTGAAGGACTGCCGGAGAGTCTCGGACGCGAGATGGGAAAGTGAAACGAATCCGAACGCGGCCACGGTGCCCGCGGGTGGGGTTCGGTACCCGCCGGAACAGCGTCCCCGGGACCCTAGGCTTTCCCGGCAAAGTCCGGGGAGAGGGGAGGAGCCGCCTGTCCCGCGTCGCCCCCTGCCTGGGCGTCGGTCCCCGCCGGCCCACCCGCCGCGTCGCCATCCCTACCCGGCAGGCGGCCGCCCCCTCGGGGAGTCTGTCCAGCGAGGACGCCCGCGCCACCGCGGGGACCCCCAGCAGCAACAGCAGCAGCAGCGGCGGCGGCGGCAGGAACGGCAGGGGTGGCGACGAGGCCATCACAGCCGGGCCAACGTGCGGAGGCGGGAGCAGCGGCCCGGGGAAG